ACTTGGGAGGCTGAGGCATGAGAATTGCTTGAACTCAGGAGTCGGAGGTTGTGGTGAGCCAAAATTGTGCCATTACACTCCAGCCTGGGCGACAGAGCGAGACTCTGTCTCAATAAAACCAAAAAACAAAAAATTAGCTGGACATGGTGGCGTGCACCCGGAGTCCCAGCTACTTGGGAGGCTGAGACAGGAGAATCACTTGAACCCAGGAGGCAGAAGTTGTAGTGAACCAAGATCATGCCAATGCACTCCAGCCTGGGAAACAGAATGGAACTCTGTCTCAAAAGGAAAAATAAGAAGCATGGTGTTTTCTTACCACATTCAATTTTACTTTGGCCTTTGCTACAGATGGGGGTTCTAAACTAGAGAAGTGGTTCTCAAATTTGGTATGTGTGTCAGAAATCACCAGGAAGGCTTGTGGAAACAGATTGCTGGGTCTCACCCTCAGAGTACTAGTAATAGGCCTGGGGTGAGGCCTGAGACTTTGCTTTTCTAACAAGTTCCTAGGTGATGCTGACCGTCTACTTTGAGAGACACTGAGAGTGAAGTCCCTTTGATCCCTAAGAATTCTGACAGCAGTGCTGGGCTTGGAAGCACAGACGTGACTCAAGCTCGTAATTCTCGAGGGCTGCTTACTGAAGGGCAAGGGGTCCTTCCAGAGTGAGGACAGGAGCAAACATGGAGAGAAAAGTCCTTTGGAAGTGGGAGAGGGAAATAATGACATTTCCTCAAGTTGAAATTCTCCTCATTAAAATATGAGGAAATATATAAAAGTATATACACTTTTCCTGGGAACGCAGAGCTTCTGCCAGAGTCCAGCAGGCCTAGTCCCCTGCATCCAGTGTGCCAAGCCTGTGTATCTTCTGAACAGTGCCTTTCCAAAACTCTTTATAAATAAAATGTCTTTATAAATACATAAAATTATATAAAACTATCATGTACGGAAAATGATCACCTCTCTTCTACAGACAAGGAAAGCGAAACTCAGAGATTGAGGAATTTGCCTGTATCATACCGCTGGCAACTAGGGGAGCAGGGACGGGAGCTCCAGTCTGCCTGACCATTGTGCTTGCTTTGCTGCCTTTGGAGCCCTGTGGCCCAAAGCCAGACTGCCCTACATGTGAATTTTGCCTCCACCACTTACTTGCTGGGTGTTCTCTGCAAGTTGCTCAACCTCTCTGTGCTACCTACAAAATGGAGTCGTCCCAACCTCATTGGGTTCTTGTAAGGATTAACTGAATTAATATTTATAAAGTGCCTAAAACAGTACCTGTTACACAGTACCTGCAATGTAAATTTGTTAAAAATAAACTCAGCTGCTCACCAGAGTGCATGCACGGCATCCCTCCAGAGAACAAGCTCAGGAGAGAAGCTCAGAGATAGTCCAGTACCCAGAGAGGGCAGGCAGAAACACTTGAAAAATGGTGAGAGGCTCGGCTTTGGGGTTTAGAGAGAACCCAAACTTTGGTGGTGGGAGGGAAAACGGCCCCAGGCCCGGAGGCTGTTCTTGTCCCTTGCTCTTGCCGCCCCAGTTTCAGACTCCAGACTTACCAGTCTGGGTCTCAACCTCCCCTCCCTCCTCGCCACCCCCACCCCAGGCGCTCCGGGTTTCCTGCCCGACAGGGGCCTCCGTTTGGGGCGGGTGGAGGAGGGGTGGCATTTCCTGGCTGGGCCCGGCCTGTCTCTCTCTTATGGACGCTCGGACAACTCGCTGACCGACAGGCACCAGATGCTATTTCGGGCAGCGCCCCGCTTAGCGCAGTTTCCGTTTTTCCACTGACCGTCGGAAACGGGAGGGTGAGGATGTAAATGTCTTGAGCCCCCAGGCCCGGGCAGGGGTTTAGAAGATGAGGTCGGGAGTGGCTGCCTGACTGCCAGAATCTGGAGCATAGCGGAGAACAAATGTGTCGAACTGGGGGGTTGGTGAACGTCACCTCCTCGACCCACAGAGGCCTGGACAGACCCTTTGCCATAAGGCCGAAAAACGCCTCGCCTTTCCACCTGTCCATATTCCTTCACCACAGAAAAGGACACCTTCCTTGGAGGTGCTGGCTGGGGACATTTAATGTCCTGTAAAATAATCCAACAGTCTGCAGGTGCCTCAAAGGCATCTAAACTCAAGGAGTTGGAAACCTTGATAAGTGTATAAGCCCTCCCCATGTCTCTTGGTCTCCAGGTTCCCCATCTCCCCTCGGAATAACTACGGATAGCTCTGCGGGAGCCTTCGTCTCCCTCATCCCCCTAAACCCAATTCTCATAAACCCAGTTTTATACCCCAAACACATGTCATCTTCACCTGCCTCTTATCTCTTTTGCCAGCACAGTGGCCCAAACTCTAAAATCCTCCCACTAACCACTGCATTGGCTCCAGAACTGGCCTTCCAGAATCCTTCCCCGTCCACGCTTCAGCCAAAGAGCTTTCTAGAAATGCAAATCTGATTCTATACAGGGTACCAACCCCACCTTCAAACCAAACCAAAACAAATGCCAAAAAATGCTTTAACTTGTCTGAAAGCGTGCTCCAGCCATACTGGACTCTTTTCTGTTCCCTTCACAAACCTACTGCCCTTTGGTTCCAGCCCTTGGTCCAGCTGTTTCCTCCACACACCTGGAAGGTACTGGATGCTCATCCTTGTCCCCACCCGCCTTCTCCACATCCCCAAATTTCACTCTTAGCTCTCAGTTCAGGCCTCATTTTCTCAGAGAAGCAGTCCCCACCTGGGCTCTCCTACATGGGAATGGCTAGCCTCTTTTCACAGTGGCTCAGAGACATGAAATCACTTGCCTAAAGGTCCCAAAGCCCAAGAATGGCAGAGTTGTGTTTCAGACTCAGAATTATATGACTCTGATTTTCCATTAAGTGATAGAGCCAAGCAAAGGCAAAGGCCTTATGGCAAGGGGGAATAGACTTTTTCTTAGGACGTGGGCTTCAGCGAGTTATCTATATTCCCATGGCAGCCTGACTTCCTTCAGAGAGCACAAGAGGAACAGAGGGGACAGGTGGCACTGAATTAACCGTATCTTCTCACAGGGTCATCCTGATGACCAAGGAGAAGCCAGATCCCAGACTGGGGCCATGCTCTTGGCTCAATGTTTGACTGGGACTTAGTTTATCACCAGAGTAGGGGCTTTTCCCCAGTTCTCAGGTCCAAAAAGAAAAAAAGGCTCAAAAGCAGAGATACTAGAAGGACAAGAGCAGAGATACTAGAAGGACAAATCAGCCTGGCATGGAGGGCATAGTTGTGGACTGGGAATTGGACACCAAAGTTTGGCTCCTGGCTTTTCCTTTGGGTTACTCTAAGTTCTGGCGAAGTCACATCTCTCTGTGCCTTAACTTCCTTCTCTATGATGATAACCAGAACTCCCATGCAAGTGCATATGATGTTTTCCTGGGTCATGGACTGAGCGACGTTCCATACATTATTATCCTCACCACTACCTTTTAAAGGTCATTTAAGTTAATTCTCACAACTTTGTGATGTCGGCATTATCTCCTCATTTTACAAATGAGAAAACCAAGGATCAGAGCTAAGTGACTAAAATTCAAACGTGTGTTCTTTCCACTCCACCATGAAAGAATGAACCCAGAGACACTCGTGGGCTGAGCCCCTCATCCAGCTGGCACTGAACTCAGATTCCTGCTCCGCAGTATAGACCTTGGTCCTTGCAAAGAGTTGAGCCCAGATCCCTATCCCTGCCTAGGTTTTGGCTGTCCCTCTTCATCAGCTGAGGTGCAGAGAAGACTCCTGCTAAATTTCCTTTCAGGGCAGACTCCACCATGCACTAGCCATGCAACAGGCGAAAAGTTACTTTGACTTTCTGTGCCTCCGTTTTGTCATCTGTAGATGAAGGATCCAACTTCTTAGAATGATAAAGAGTAAATGAGTTAGTATTTGAAGAATGCTTAGAACAGTGTTTCAGTCACTAGATTAAACTTTTTTTATTTTTTTTAATACCATGTGGGGAGCAGTGTTCCTGGGCTCTGGGCTCAGCCTGAAACCTAGCAGAATGGACATTTTAATCTCCCTATTGACAGGGGTTCTGCCAGGCCGCCATAGAGCCCATGGATTTGAGCTACAGGCTCTATTTTAGAAGGGGTGAAGGGCTACGGTGAAGCTGGGGAGCTTTCTGGGATAGGGAGACTGCCTGTTGAAATCTGGGTGTCTGGGACACTGGAGAAAGAATAAGGAAGAAGCGCTGGGAGGTGACGATTTTGGTGTCATGGTGGTCTTCAGAGGTAGAGACCAGTGTTGGGGTAAGAGTCGCTGAAGAAAGGTGTCTAAAAGACCGGAGACTGAGGTTGTGGGGAGCTGGGGTTCCCGAGAAGCCTTGGGATCCGAAATGGGGACTGGATCCGCTGGGTCCTAGACAGCGTGTCCAACGCTCTCCGCAGCGCGTTCCGTTCCGGAGCCGATCGCATCGCCACTCAACCAGTCCCCACTCCCTCCGGTGAAATTGCCAAATTAAAATGAATCATTTGGCCCATAATGGCCGAGGCGCTTATCGGGGGCGGGCGGACCCGCGGCAGTGCCTTATCTCCGCGGCGCACACGGCCCCGGCGCGCCTCGGCCCATGCTAACTAGGCCTGGAACGTGAGTGGGATTAGAGCGCGTCGGTGGAGGAGCCGGGCGGGCGCGGCGCGGGCGGGGGAGCGGGGGCCGCGGGAGGGGCCGGGCCGCCGCCGCTGAAGACCAGGCCTCAAAATGGCCACACACGCACCCCCGTAGCAGAAAAACGTGAGCATTCTGGCCTTTTTCTAGGGGAAGAGCAACCCGCGGCATCCCACCAAATTCCTCATCAATGCCCTCCTCTTCCCCCCACGTCCGCAAAGAGGTCTTAGCTCCCTTTCCTTCGGTTTCTTTCGATGGGGGAGGCATTTTCCGTGGACGCCCTCGCCCGCGCTGCCGCCGCCCCTCCCGCCAAGAGACTCTCTTCCTTCCTTCCCCCTTTTCCTTACGCAATATACAGAAATGCGCGAGGCGGTGGTTGGTTTTCATTTCTTCTTCGTGGTTGTGTGCATGCGGTGGGATTGTGCGAGTGTGTTCGTGAGAGCTGTGGGCGGCGTTGGCTGCTTCCGAGTGTGGTCTTCTTGGCGGAAGGCTGTGTGTCCGAGTGTGGTGGTGCCTGCGAGGTTGGGGTGTGTAGATGTGGACCCTTCGAGGCCCTTCTGCGTTTTCTTCGTTGCGTACGATTGTGTTCGGTTAGCGTTCTCATCAGGGCTCTGGTTCTGTGTGTGGGGTGTGTGGCCTCTGCGACTGTGTTTGGGTGGTGTCGTCGTTATGTCGGGCGTGTGTGATCCCGACTGTGCTAGGTTGTGTGTCCGAGAGCCGCTGCATTTGACTGATTTCGTTGTGTCCTGTTGGGCAGTGTGCGGGGCTGACCAGGTCGGCTTCTGGGGCAATGCTGGGTGGTGCTTGTTTGCTACCCTTCTGTGGGGCTGGACCCTGTGTGGTCCTGTCCGCGCTGAGTTGTGTGCCTGTGTGCCTGTGTCCTTTAGAGGTGCGTTTGCAAATCGCTGGGGGCGGGAGTGGGGGGAGGGCGAGCGAGAGATCTAGGCGCTGGTGGGGGAGGCGGCATGGGGGCGGGGAGCGGGATTTCACATTTTATTCCAAATTATGATGTATTCGGGAACCAGTCGTTGGCTTGGATGGGCGGACAGCGCTGGGTCGGCGGCTGCTCTGCTGGGAGGCCCGCCTGTGCCTCGTTGTTTTGAAGGATTCGTTGGTGAGTGGGAGGCTCCTCCAGGCTTGAAGCTGAGTAGCGCTCGCCGAGGCCGGCGCCTTAGAGCCTGTGGCTGCGGGCTTCGGTTCCCGCCGCACTCCGGTTTCGTCCATTTCTGGTCAGTTTCGTGGGTGCTGCTGCCGGGGTCCGAGGGAGAGGCCTCGAAAGGACAATGGGCACATTCACCAGGCCTCGCGCGTCGGGTGGGGACATTCGGGATCACCTCCAGGGAAGATTTTCCCTCCCCATCTTCGGGGGAGCGACATTGCCGCTGGGGTCTGGTACCCGTCGCATCCGAGACCGCGGCCGAGTCTCGGCTCTGGGAGGGACCTCTTTAGTCGGGCCCTAGCTCTGGTTTAAAGAATTTTGTTTTGTCAATTATTGTGATTGCTAATGCCATCATCACAATCGTCATTATTAAAATCTATTTTAATTAAAATAATCCTCCCAGAGCGCGGCAGTTTGCCCCTTTTGGCTTTTTCGGCAGGAGAACAAAGCAGCGGGGTTTTCCCCGCTAGCGCCGTTTTCTAAGTTGCTGGGTTTGAGGTAGGAAGAGAAAATGGAGAGGGGGGACGGACACAGAGACTTGGTCATACAGAAGGCAAACATTAACCCCCAGCGAACACTCGAACGTTCAGCCCCAGCGATCACACCGGGAATGGGTGGATTCCCCCTTTCTTTCCTCCCCTACCCTCTTTTAGATTAGAGGAGGAGGAAGAAACTCTTCTTCATTGTATTGCAATCCAGGGAAGAATTATTCCTATATTTCCATCAATGCCGGGGCAAACAGAAGGAGGCCTTCGCAGTTGATCCAACACTTCGATGTGTGATTATAAGCCTGACGATTTAGGCAAAACGAATTAAACAAAATCCACTAGGAAAAAATAAAAACAAACTAAATCCTGCACCATTCTTGAAAGTAGTATTGGGTTTGTTTTTACCTTCCTTTCCTTTTAGCTTGTTTATTGCTGTAACAAATCATTAGAATTCTCCCTTACTGTGTCTAAACCCCGAAAAATCGAAAATCGTTTTGTTCGAGTGGTGGAGGGGAAGGCAGAGTGGGGGGCTGGCGGGTGCGGGGGGGGGACTTTCCCCCTTTCTTTCTCCTTTTCTTGGCCTTTATTTCGTTTTCTTTTTCAGTCTCTCTTTTCCTCTCTTTCTTTTTTTCTTTTGCTTAATCAGTAGGGAGACGAGACAGGACCTGAACAGATCAGATATCTTTCCCCAATCCCCCTTTCCAACTCCATTTCTATATGAAAGTATAGTCCCTGGAATTGAGTTCTGGTTTCGCTTTGGGTTGGAGGTGGGTGAATGGGAGTCAGGTAGAAAATGAGGTTGGGGGGACTCCAAGATTCTGTCCCACCGACCTGGGTCTAAGGACTATTCGCCTTTCCTTTCCCGACGCAGACCTCCACCCATCCAGGCCCGGGACTACCCCTTCGCGGTGTAGCGGCAGCCGGAGACCTGGCTGGGGACCCAAGTGCATAGACACCTCCCTGCTTAGAAAACAAACACGGAACCAGACCGCTCTCAGTTGGAGGGTTCGAAAATGTTCCAGGCAGCCTGTGGGGAGGGGTTGTTGTTGTTGGACTAAATAGCTATTCCTGATTGGTTATGTATAGGGTTTTTTTAAGGAGAGGGGAGAGGGAAGGCTCCAAACACCTGCAGGTTGGGGGCGGAAAGCTGTTTGCGATTCCCTGGACTGGTTGGTCGGGGGCAGGAGGTAATTCCCAGCCATTGACCCCTATTTCTTTCTCTCCCTCCCTCTTGCCCTGCCTCTTTCTCTCCACCCCTATCTTTCCTGGAAACTCGCTTTGGGTGCGGCAGATCGCCCAGGACCACACCGCAGCGTAACTGCAGGCCTCTCAGCGAAAAAGGGGGAAAGCAAAGACTGGGGTCCGCATCCTCCACCTCGGCTTCCGCCCTTCTCTGGCGGAGTGGAGATCCTTCCTATTCAGAGGGGGCAGCCTCTCTAAATATGCCCCAGGTGAGTTTTCAAGGGGATGGTGCCAGTGGAAAATGTCCAGGAAGGCCTTGGATTCCAGCCCGGGGTGAGGAAGGCTCCCGACACTGGAGAGCCCAGTCTCAGATTAGGGGTAGGGGGAGGGGAGGACCAGCCGGAGCTTGGAATCGGGATCGACTGCTGCTAGCGCTGCTTCTGTGGCCTCCAGCGGCTCTTTCCCTTTTCCGCCCTGGGTAAAACCAGCTAGTTGGACTTAGTCGTCCAAGCCGTTCCCATTGGTCCAGGTTCTGTGGACGTTTCGCAAGGCCAGTAACTTTGGGGCGGCTGTATCCGGATGGTGCAGACTGTGCCTGGAGCTCCCGCAGGAAGAAGGCGGCAGCCTTCCTGGCTAGTGCAGTCCCAGCTCCAGCGGGCCCTGTCCCCGGGCCTGAGGCCTAGGGCGGGGCGGCAGGAAAACCCCTCTACTCCGGTAGAGGTGAGGATGGCGGTGCTGTTCACTGGTGGGTTTGGTACTTGTGGAAGCTTGGGGCTTCTCCAGGGTGTTGTGCTGGTGTGGGCCCAGTAGAGAGAGCAGAGGCTGGGTGTAAGGGCTGAGGCTGTTTTCATCTAAGAAATTCTCTCTATGGGGAATTGGGTCTGCTTGAGACCTGCCCCCAGGAAGAATCTCATGGGTGCTCCTGTCTCGTTCAGGCATAGGTGGAAATATTCTGGCTGTCTGGCAGGCAGCTGCAGATGAGGATTTCATGTTGGGGGCTATACGCTGGGTCTCTGCAGCACAAAGAGAGAGGAGCTGTAGTGATCAAATATGCTAGAATGATTCAATCTATAAAATCTCCTTCCTCCTTCATTCTCCCAACATAAAAACAAACACGGTCACTCAGACTTTCCTTTCTGTAATCCAAACCAAGTGATGCAGTTTAGTCGCCAACAACCATCGGTGTTTGTGAGTGGCTTCTTTAGGGCATGGACCTCTGGTTGGTGATCCTGGTTGCAGAAGAACGGGCAGGATTTTGCTAAAATGTGGGGAGGAGCTGGGAGAGGTCCTCCACAGACCCCGGGAACCAGTTATATGTTGCTTACAAGGAGCCTTGAAGATGGGATATTTATAGGCGTCTAGAGAGGACATTTGGGGCTAGGGTCAATTCATCTGGAATACGTACTCGCATTGCCTCTCAGGAATATGTACTCCCATTGCCTCTCAGGAATATGTACTCCCGTTGCTTCTCAGGAACGCACCGCTACAGCAGGAGCTGAGCAGATGAATTAATTGGAGGGTAAAAGTATGCCACAATAAAGCTTGAGTTCAGTCTGCAACTGCAATGCACACTGTCACGTAGAAGCTGGGGCTTAAGCACAGGTTACTGGACTCACATTGGTGTGTCAGGACAGTGAGCAGTGAGGTAGGGAACCAACATCTTGAAGCTTGTATGTTTCCCAGGGCACATTTCACTGCTGCTGGGAGCAGGAGGACCTGGCTGATATACTTCTGGTGCATTTCCCGTGGCCTTGGTGTCTTGGTGGTTGCATTCTATAGATAAAGACCTGTTGTCTCCGCCATAATCATAAACTCACTTCCAATGAAGCATCAGGAACCTACTGCCTTTACAGCTTGTATACACCAGGTCTTAGGGAATTTTGCAGTTTCTGTGCCAGGCCCGGGGGGGCTGGCATTCCAAGAGCAGGTGCACAGCAGTCCGAATCTTGATTCTCTGTTGTGCTGGGTGTCTGTTGGCAATTGAGCTAAGCTCTAGAGGAGGCTGCAGAAGGTCTGTTCTCCCTTCTAGGGTGAGGAGTGATGGTTCCCAGAATGACTGCTGTCCAGAGCATTGCAGTGGCAGTGTGGGAGGTCGATGGCTGCTGTGTATAATTAGATGGACTCTGCATGGGGCTAAATTGAGTTTTTGTATTTGTTTTCTTTTAAATACCCAATTATATAATCCAGAGAGCAGAAAGCTTATTTTAAAGAATTTATGTGGAGTTGATCATATATGTACAACTCACAAGCATCCGCAGACTCTGGCCTTTGAGTCTCCCAATTTTTCTGTTTTACTCCTTGCTGGGGCTGGCTCAATCTGGATGGAGCCAGGTGATGGAAGAACCCCAGCACATTTGTGGGAAGTAGAGTGGCTGTGGTCATCTTGGAGTATGCTTGTGGGGGCACAAGGTGGTTTCGCTGCTCTGGGAATATGGGAGGGTAGAGCAAAGTGAGATTATTGTTCTGGTCTGGTTGTCTCACAGGTAGGCTGCGAGTGACTTTGGGCCAGTCAGTTTTCTCATTGGTGCATTCTCCTTGTTAATAATGATAACTTGAGCATTTGCACAGTACTTTCAACGGCATAAAGGAGGTATTCCTCTCATTTCCTAGAGAACACCAAGGCAGGAGATGGCAGTGAGGGGGGCTGGAAGGGTTCAAGGGCCTCATGACAGCCTGTCCTGCTCTTGGATGGGAGTCCAGACCCCACTGGCCTCAGAAAACCCTTCAAATGCTGGGCTCCATTCCACCTGAGCCAGGCCTCTGAGACTCGACCTCACTTCTGAGTCCAGCTGAGTGGAATGGTTAAAGTGTGCAGAGAGGTGCAGCTAGCACCATCTTCTTCCCTTGGTGACCTCTCATTTGGGTCTGAGTAGGAGTGAAGATCCACTGGCCGGGACACAAGACTCACAGTGCATTTGCTCAGTGTAGACAGACACTCCCTCACTCCCCAGCGGCGCAAGTGTGTGTGTGTGTGTGTGTGTGTGTGTGTGTAGGGATCTAGTTCCTCGGGATTATTCTCTGCCACCTCTAGCAGAGCAGACCTCAGTCCCCGTAGCCTTCACTTTCTAATTCCCTACTTTTACCCGCACCGGGTTTCTGGGTGCGCTCCTAGGTGGTCTGAGGGTATTGCTGAGAGGCCAGGGGAGGTTCCCAAAGCAACGAACCTCTGCCTGACAGATTCCCCGCTAAAACCAAAGAGCACAGTCGGGAATTTGTTCCCTCCTCTTCCCTTTCTGCCTGAGAAGGGGGACGGGATAATCTCTTTCTCGCCTCCTTGTACATTTCCTTCCTCCTGATTTCCCCTTCTGTGTTTCTTTCGCTGACTGTATTTCTTTTCTTCCAATGTCTCCGTCGTTTTCCTCCATCTCTGTCCTTTTGGCCCCCAGTCTCTGTGTCTCTCAGGCACCCCTCCCTTCTCCCAATCCAGAGACCCCCTTTCCCTCCCGCCCTAGCCCCACGTGGCGCCTAACTTTGTCTACCTCCTCTCACATCTCGGTGTGTGAGTTCCTCTCTCTGCCCTTCACCCCTTTGCCCCAGCCCACGTCAGTGGGTCGGGGACGGTCGTCAGAGCGGGCGTCCGCTTGTCTGTCTGTCTGCCCGCAGGATGACCGAGCGGCCGCCGAGCGAGGCGGCTTGCAGTGACCCCCAGCTAGAGGGACGGGACGCGGCCGAGGCCCGCATGGCCCCTCCGCACCTGGTCCTGCTGAACGGCGTCGCCAAGGAGACAAGCCGCGCGGCCCCCGCGGAGCCCCCAGTCATCGAGCTGGGCGCACGCGGAGGCCCGGGGGGCGGCCCTGCTGGTGGGGGCGGTGCCGCCAGAGACTTAAAGGGCCGCGACGCGGCGGCGGCCGAAGCGCGCCATCGGGTGCCCACCACCGAGCTGTGCAGACCTCCCGGGCCCGCCCCGGCCCCCGCGCCCGCCTCGGCCCCCGCGGAGCTGCCCGGCGACGGCCGCATGGTGCAGCTGAGTCCTCCCGCGCTGGCCGCCCCAGCCGCTCCCGGCCGCGCGCTACTCTACAGCCTCAGCCAGCCGCTGGCCTCGCTTGGCAGGTCAGGGGCCAGGGGCTGGGCGGGAGGGGCGGGTGGGCAGGGCGACCACCAGCACCTGGGCTTCCCTTCGCCACCTTGGAGGCGGACTGCCCTCCAGTCCGCGGGGCCGAGCGGGTGGAGCGCCGGGAGAGGAGGTCATTTTACACCCATGGGCTCCAGAGCCTCAAGCTGGAGCCCCCGAGTGAGTGCAAGTGAGGGAGGAGCCGTTTGTGCGCGTGGCTGCAGGGTGCATGGCTGTGTGGAAGCCAAGAGGAGGGCGTGGACACCTTCGGGTTTGCAGACGTGTGGCTGCTGTGCTGTGTGGTGGTGTCGTGGGGGACGGATAGGAGGGAGTCACCTGATCGTGGGTACCAGGAGTGTGCTTGCATGTGCTTTGCTGTGAGCAGAGGTAGATGTTTGCGGCTGAGTGTGAAATTCATTCGGAAGCGTAGTGCTAGGTGGACAGGCAAGAGATAAGGATCCGAGGGTGGTGGCAGGGGCACCTTCCCCTGAATCTCCGCTGGAGGGCCCGCCGGAGGACTGATCTGTTCCTCCACTCTCAGCCTCTTTGCCCCTAGCCGTGGTCTCTGGCCCCAGCCCATACTCCAGGGGGTGTAAGGGCATCCGTTTCCCTGCTGGGGCCACAATGATGATGACGGAGAGACGCGGTAGGGTTGGAATAGGGACCGGAAGATGGGGCAGGGATAGAGTGTGGGACAGTCCATGAGTCTGGCCGCACCGAGAGCTATGGAGAGCCCAGAGTGGGTGAGGGCTGAGAGCTAGGGGGTGCATTTCAGCAGAGGGGAGTCCTGTGTGTTATGTCTCCACAGCCCCTGATGGGTGGGGTGAGGTGGGGGGGAGGGGACAGTATGCCCCTTTGTGGTGACAGAGATGCACACCATCAGCTATGAAGGTCACGTCTTCCTGAGTGGGCACGTGTTTGAGAGTGGAGGTGTGTATGGATTGTGTGCCTGTTTCCGGGACAGGAGAATGGAGGGTGTTTCTGTCTGTGGAGTGTATCTGTGTGTATGTTCACTTTTGTGTTCGTTCCATGTGTTATTCACCTCTGCTTCTGTATGTGTGCCTGTGTGTTTGTGTGGAGGGATGCGAGGTTAGGTGATCCTTCCTCCCTTTGCTTATTTCATGACCGAGTGAGGGTATTCCGTGTGTGTGTGTGTGTGTGTGTGTCTATTTCCAGCTCAGTGTGAAGGGAGCAGGGTTGTGGGGAGGGGGGGGCTCAAGACATGCGAGGAGGATCCCTAAGGAGCCTCTTTCTCCTCTCTCCCCAACATGGGATCTTGTGCTCTGCCTGTTCCCTCCCACAGTGGGTTCTTTGGAGAGCCGGATGCCTTCCCTATGTTCACTACCAACAACCGAGTGAAGAGAAGACCTTCCCCCTATGAGATGGAGATTACTGATGGTGAGTCTGCCCCACCCCACCCTTGTACCTGCCCCTACACTCGTTAGAGCACTTTGCTGGAGGGAACATCCGGGTCTACTCCATAGGTGTCTCACAAAGATGGGTGGGCCACTTTGGAAGCCCAAACTGCCTGCAGATGAGCTGGGGCTAGGTAAAGTCCTGGGTGGGGCTAGCAGGGCCACACTCATAGTCCTGTGAAGAGGAGACATGGGAGAGAGACACATGGTGGCGCTTAGCCCAAACCTCTGGAGTTAATTTCAGTCCCTACTCCAGGCTCCATTCCAACACTTTGGTAAGGATCCCAAGTGAGTGCAGAAACACACTGTCCCCCAGCCCCCATTTTAGGCACTGAACCTCAGGGATTCCCTGCACTTCCTCCCAAGTCTTCCTTAGAGTCTGGAGTCTGCTCCCTCTCTGCAATGCTGTCATCAAGCATCTCCTCCAAGGTCTCTACTCAGTAGTCTCTCCTTGTCTCCTGTTAACACATTCTGGGCTGAGACCTGAAGTTCCCTTCCTGACATACAGATTTCAACCTTGCTCCCTGGATTCCCCGAGAAGGGCCTTGGCACTGCTCCTTTGAGCTACTTGAATATTCCCTGAACTTGCAGGGATGGTTTGGATAAATGGGAGATTTGGAAGATGCTCACCGTCTTCCCAAGGTTGACCTTGTATAGTAGATGAGTCCCAGCACCAGGGGCAGGAGAGTAGGCACTTCAGAGCTGAGGGACTTTGAGCCAGACCCTGATGCCCCCAGAACTTCAGCTTGGCTGTGGCCTGGGGCTCCTGTAGGCCTCAGAGCCAGGCTGAGATCTGTGTTCCAAACTGGTGGGAGGGGTGTGAGTATGGAGCTGGAGCCTCTGGAGTTGGAACCCTCTGTGGTTTCTGGAGAGGAGCTGGGCTGGGGTCTGGACATCAGAAAAGACTTCAAAAGACCCAGCCAGCCCGGGGGACATGTGTGCAGGGCTGAGAGGCAGGGGTGCCTTGCTGCTAGATTAGAGAGGGGTTCTGTAGTCTAGGAGAGGCGGGTGTACCAAACAGGAAGTAGACAGGACCAGCTGTGAAGTTTGCCAGGGACTAGGCATTTTCTCCAATAGGCAGGGGAGGCAGAGCATAGAGATGAGGGTTTGTGGGGTCTACAGAAGTGTAAGGCAGTCATTACCCATAAGGGTTGGCAGTATTTACAGAGCACCTACTCAGTGCTGGCCAGAGAGAGGCAGAGGATGCTAGGAGGGGTGGACAGACTCAGGAAAGAGGAAGGTGAGGAGAAGGGGTGGTTCTCTGGATGAAAACCAGAGAGGAGTAGTCAGACATGTAGGCAAGGGTAGGGTCTGGGAGTGCAGGATATGTCTAGGGGACACTGAAATTAGACACTGAACACAAAAGAGTCCATAGAAGTAGAACTAATGCAAGATCTAGAGTTAGGACTCGATGTGGATTCCTGTTGTTGAATTGCCACTACCATTTATTGAACCACCTACTATGTGCCATGGACTTTGTGTGCTTGATTTCTGTTTAATCCTTACCAGAAGCTCATGAGGGCAATATTATGGTTTTCATCTCAGAGATAAGGAAATTGAGGCTGAGAAAGGTTAAGCAGCTTGCTCGAGGTCACATAGCTAAGTCCTGGACACCCTCATAACACTGGTCTCAAGCTTTAGAATAAGTCCTGACCACTTCCCCACCATCTCCTCCTCTGGATGTAGTCTAGTGCCAGCAGTGATGGCAGTTATAACTACTTCCTCCCCAACTAGGTGCTCCCTCAAGATCACCAGCATTAGTCATGGTGGAGGGACTGTCCTCCCTATGTCACCACCGAGGGGCACTCTCTGTCTGGCCTGGAGGCCTGAGAGCAGCAAGTAATTTCCTCAGAGGCAGCCCAGGGTAGCACTGCCCTGCAGGTGTGCCGTGTTTTTCCTGTGCTGGGTCTGGCCTTTGGCAAAGAGTCAGCTGGGCTGGGGCCTGCTAGGCAGCTTCAAGGTACCATGGGCAGGGGATGTTCCTTCCCAGGAAAATTGTGTGTGTGTGTGTGTGTGTGTGTGTGTCCCCGTGCATGTGCATGTCTGCCTGCATGTAGGAGAGAGAAAGAGCTGATCAAGCAGTGAGTGTAGCATGGATGAACTGATTCACAGACTGACCACTGAGGTGAGGTCTGCTTCCATCCCAGCCTCAGTGTCTATAAAATGAGCAGTGGGACTTAGGTGAGGTTTGAGCCTTTCTCCTCCCCAGTTTTCACACTCTGAGGTCTGGTTCCAGGGGTTACTACAAGAGGGCAAATAAATATCTTAGGACTGGCAGTTCCTTCAGTGCACAGAGCTTCTGGGACTATGTGACCCTGGCCCTGTGCCTCGGTGTTAGGGAGAGAAGCAGTCTCCTCAGCTCAGAAGTTCAAGAGCACTAGCAGGACCCTTCTCTGTCTTCCCCTGGCTTTGCAAATCCCAGGTCAGACTTGAACACAGCACAGTGCTTTGCGCACCATAGGTGCCCTTGACATGTGTGCTGATGTCCACCACTGCTCTGTCTTTATACGTGGAATGTTAGTGACTATTGGGCCAAGCCATAATCAGTGTATTGTAGATGTGGGGAGACCGAGGCAGCCTTCATAAACCTGCCTAGAGCTATGGGTCATGGCTGTGCATAGCTGTGTCTTCACTTCTCTCCTTAGTGTGAGACCCTTGCTGCACCAGTCTCTGCTTTCCCCTCCATTCCCCCTGCCACCATGATGGGTCAGTCAGCAGACATTTCTAAGCCCTACTCTGTGTTTTCCATCACCCTTAGGATAAAGACCCTTACTGCAGGCACCTGTGGGATCTGGACCCTGTCTACTCTGATCCTGTGCACAGGACTCCAGCCAGCCTGGCTTCAGGCCTTGTCTAGTGCAGGGCGTGGATACTCTTCCGCCTCTCCCCTTCCTGTGCCTAGCTCATTCTTCACAGCCTCAGAAAAGCCTTCCCAGCCATGGGAGCTAAACATAGAGCTTCTTTTCATTAGGATTCATCTGTTGTTTGTTTGTTTTTAAAAATTTATTTCCCTGTTAAAATGTAAGCTCCATGGGGACAGAACTTTAGTTCACCATTATTCCTCAGTGCCTAGCACAGTGCCTGGTTGTTAGCAAAAACTGGATACCTGGATAATAATAGCTAATATTTACTGACTGCTTAAGTGAAGTCAGACGTTGTCTTAGGTCCTTTACCTAATGTAAAGGTAGACCCATGTAACGACTCATGACTTAGTAGCATGACCTCCATGCTATAGGTGATGAAGCCAAGGCACTTCGCCAGTTTTTCTGCCACTTGCCGAGTCATTCATCTAGGCAGGGATAATCAAATAGGAATGGAGTCTGTCCGCTGGGCGCGGTGGCTCACACCTGTAATCCTAGCACTTTGGGAGGCCGAGGTGGGTGGATCACTTGAGGTCAGGAGTTCAAGACCAGCCTGGCCATCATGGTGAAACCCTATCTTAAAAAAAAAGAAAAAAAAAAAAAGAATAAAAAACAATGGAATGGAGTCTCTCTCTCTAGACACAGCTGTAAGTCCTCTTGGCACAAGTGAATAAATGAATAGCATAAAGTACCTGTCCTCAAATATCTCACAGTCCAGAGAGAGAGACAAGCACAGAAACATAAGTAATGATCAAGAGTGATGGAGCTCTAGGGATTGCAGGATGATGGTGGTTGGTTAGATCTGTCTGGACGGGTTGAGGAAGTTCCCATAGATGAGGAAGCACAGGAACTTGAATTTGAAGGGTGGATGTTTTCTAAGTAAGAGGAAAGTAGGCATTCTGGGCTTCCCAAGTTTCCCAATGGATGGAGATTCCTTTGGGGAAGGAATCTCAAGCCCATTCTCCTGACTCTTGTCCTCCTAATCTCCAGGTCCCCACACCAAAGTTGTGCGGCGTATCTTCACCAACAGCCGGGAGCGATGGCGGCAGCAGAATGTGAATGGGGCCTTTGCTGAGCTTCGCAAGCTGATCCCCACACATCCCCCAGACAAGAAGCTCAGCAAGAATGAGATCCTCCGCCTGGCCATGAAGTACATCAACTTCTTGGCCAAGCTGCTCAATGACCAGGAGGAGGAAGGCACCCAGCGAGCCAAGCCTGGCAAGGACCCTGTAGTCGGGGCTGGTGGGGGTGGAGGTGGGGGAGGGGGCAGTGCACCCCCGGATGACCTCCTGCAGGACGTGCTTTCTCCCAACTCCAGCTGTGGCAGCTCCCTGGATGGGGCAGCCAGCCCGGACAGCTACACGGAGGAGCCGGCACCTAAACACACGGCCCGCAGCCTCCATCCTGCCATGCTGCCCGCTGCCGATGGAGCCGGCCCTCGGTGATGGGTCGGGGCTACCAGGATCAGCCAGGAGGGTGCCCTTAGGCTGCTGGGATGGTGGGCTTCAGGGCAGATAGAATCAGAATTGGGCAGCTCTGAAGCAAGGCAGTGGACTTGATGAACTTTCCTGGATGTCTGAAGTTTGGGAAGCCTTTACTGACCCTGGGGCTTGCTTTTCTGTTTCCTGTACCAGTAGGGATCAGAAAAATGGAGCAAAGTGGTAGGTACTTTTCGTGAAGACGGCACGGTCTTCCCCCCTTCCCTCAGTCCCTAATCCTTCCCAAGTAAGAGGCTGGCGTGTCACTGCTTTTGGCCTGGAGTTTCGGAGCCCTGTCTTTCCTGAGACCTGGAGTTGTCAGTTCTCATCTGAGGCATCCAACAGCCTCTGCCTTGCCTTTAACCCCTCCCAAACTGGCTGGGGTGGCCTGTGTGGCCACTTCTGTCTGTATTTATAGGTACCCAGTAGCTGCCCATTTTGTGAGCCCCATCTTCACCCAGGCCTATGTTGATCCATCCAGCTTGCCAGATGCTGCAGTCACAAGCCTCGAGGTGCCTTCTTCAGGGCCTGGTTGAAGAAGATGATCAGTGGACAGTCTGCTCTAGATGAGCTGGGCCAGAGGGTTAGGACACCCAGTTGCCCTTACTTGCCCTGGGGATCAAAGTTCTGCTTTCTCCCCACTGAGACTTGCCTTCCTAAGCCTGTGGCTGTGGAAACAGTGTCTGCAGCCCTGAGAGAGTGAAGGCAGAGAAAGGGACAATGATATTAGAGTGGAATGGATCAAGAGGTATTTTGGGCATGTGGGCTTCAACTCCTCCACATCACTGTTCATGCTGGCATGAATGCCAGTGTGCTGAATGGGCATATGCTGGTGCTGAGAGTAGATGCACAGCCCCATCTGTGCATTCTAGATGCTTAGAGGGATTTCTTTGCTGTAAGATGTCTGTTTGCTGATGGCCTGGTCTGTGTTCTGAATTGAGCACAAACTCTATCCTATGAATGCTTTGCATTTGGAACTTTTGCTTGACTTCAGTTATTGGTGGAATTGTTAGTTCTCAATAGGACGAGGATCCAGCCTCACTTCTAGGGCATGGATAATCCAATCAGAGACCAGGCCCTGACTAAGACCGAAACATGCACATTCACTTAGCAGAACCTTACCCCTCAATTGTGCAGCTTTTGGCCATCAAGGTGTGTCTGGGAGGTTGGTTTAATGCAACAGAAGTGCTCCCCTCTGAAAGTTGTACATGCAGTTTTTGTAAATCACATCCTTATCCTTCATCTTTTAAAGAAATAACCGCTGCAAGTCCTTTTGTAAAGTGAAGAATCCTTTTATAGAGTGAACCACTGCCCCTTCATTGATTTCCTGTGTCAATCCAGATGGTGGGATGTGGTTTTTTAAGGTGAGGCCAGTCTGTGACCTGCATCTAAGCCCATGGGACAAACTGCACAGAAGTCCTGTATGTCTGTCATCGTGCCCTTAAGTCACCCTCTCCATCTAGGCTCTGCCTTTGAGGTCAGAGGGAAGATAGCCTGTGGCCCTGTGCTGTCGTGTAAGAACTCGTCACTCTTGTGTCTGGAAAGCCCCCCTTATAGCTTGGGCTTCAGCCCAGTGACTTGCCCTCACCATAATGGGGTCCCAGTTCAGTCATGTACGGACAGAGAATATATCTGCTCCCTCCCCTTCCTTTTAAGGAAGGTCCAATTCTTGAGCTTGGGGCAACGTGGTTCACCTTTGTAGCACTCTGACTCTCCATCCAATTTCAGACTCCCCAGATCATGTTTTGGTGAACATTAGGGTTGGTTCCTTTCCAGTGTGTGGAAGATCCTATGAGGAGCCCCATCTGTTTAACGATAAAGCCATGCTATAGGATCTAAAGCTGTTTGCTTCACGGTAGATTCACTTGACTTGGGAATGGGAAGTGGCCATAGTGTGGATGGGCGGATAGGTTTTATGAGATAGATCACACATTTTATCAAGAACTCAAACTTCTGACTCCCTCTTCTTTCAGACTTGCCGTGAGACTATGGCTTGGCCTGTCTCTTAGGGCTATGACATGGACTGAAGGGGATCATGAAAAGTAGGCTGTTTTGAGAACATAGAGAGCTCTATTTCCCTCAATCTCAATCCTGTGGTGGGGTTTCCAGCCTGAGTCCACGACCTAGGCAGTGGGCCAGTGTGCCTGACTGCCCCGCATTTGGGTAATTTAGGTTATAAACCGCTTTGGCCTGAGTTATGGAGATTGTCCTCATTTCTCCAGAATGTCTATTTTTTTTTTTTTTTTGTAAGAGACAGTGTCTTGTTCTGTCACTCAGGCTGGAGTACAGTGGTGCCATCATTGCTCTCTGCAGCCTTGAACTCTGGGCTCCAGCAATCCTCCCACCTTAGCCTCCTGAGTAGGGAGGACCACAGGTGTGAGCCACCACACCTGGTTAATTTTTGTTTTTTTTTGGTAGAGATGGAGTCTCGCTGTATTGCCCAGGCTGGTCTTGAACTCTTGGCTTCAAACGATGCTCCTGCTTTTGCCTCCAGAAGCACTGAGATCACAGGTCTGAGCCATTGCACCCAGCCCAGGTTGTCTTAGTTTCTGTCTTGTTCTAAGGCCAGGGACAGTAAAGAGAATGGAAAAAGAGATACGGGAACACGGGCAGATTGTGTAAAATGTAATGCGACTACCCAAAACAAGCCTGGTAGGAAAGGGCAAGGCTTTAGGTCTTTGTAAGAACTAAAGAAGATCTGTAATTTTTATTTTCACCCTCTGTACCCCATGACCTTATCCTTCCTCTCCTTCCTTGTTACCCATGAAAAAATGGCAACCTTCCAAGAATAGTCTCTGTACAAAGGGAAAAGAATATAAAGGTAAAACAAAACACAACACAACATTTTGAGAACAAAGATGACCATAACTACTGGAGGGCATCACATCTTTTAAGACAAATTCATATGCTTTTATTTGTTATGGCAAATGACAAGATGGTACAACCTTTATTCTTTTCCAAAATAAAACAAAGGGCACAGCATCTATAGTCAGCCGACAACTATTTCGGCCTTTTGGGGGTGGGTCTGGCCGTACTCGTGATTTCGATGGTACGTGACCCTCTGCTGAAGACTTGCCCCCTGCCCATGTACATAGTGCATTGTTTCTGTGGGCGGGCCCAGCACTTTCCGTCAATGTTGTACTGTATGTGATGAATTGCGTTGGTCTCTGCATTTTCTGCAGAAGAGGAGTAACCGCTCCAGGTACCTTGACCTTTGTACAGCCCAGAGGCCAACACTGTGGGTGTGTGACTCTTTAGCAAAAAAACCCATGTGGTGATGATGTGTGTATATATAAGGATATATCGGGAAGATTTCTAAATAAAAGTTTTACAAAGGGGCCCTAGGACTCTGCTTGCATTGCACTCCTAGGCCTGAGACTCGGAACATTGAAGGAAAAGGCATGGCAAGAGCCTGTTTCTCCTGCCATGGGGAGCCTCCAGGACTCAGCTGTAGTCTTAGGAAGTGGGATTCTGCCCCTGACCCTGAGGGCAGGCCTGGTGGGGAGGAGAGAACCTTCCTCCATAGGGTTTCCATTCTTTGCCTCTGCAGGCCTCATAGAGGGGGCCTGTCTCCTCAGGTTCGTGCACCCATGCTTGTAGCTCGGGCAGCCTCTGCAGACCTCCCCTCTTTGTGTTGGGGTCAGTTTCCATGGCTGGGACAGTTGTATGTATCCTAGGTTCAGGACAGATTAAGGCCATACCATCAGAGGGCCCTAGGTTCCCTGATGACTCAGTGGTAGCTGCTGCAGCAATTATGTCTGGCTCTTGAGGACTGGGGACTCAGAGACGAAGGCTGAAGGCATTGAAAGTCAAGTGGAGGCTCTGTGGAGGCTGCATATCATCTGGAAGGACTTCCCTGGAGGCTCAGGAGTGGGAATGTGGTTTAGATGCTACAATCTTTATTCTTTTACAAAAATAAAGGGCACAGCATCTGCGTCTAGGCGAAGCCATTGCCTATGGACCATTTGATCCTCAGGGATTTCAGTAGGTCACGCAGGCACTTCTAACAAAGTATCACACCTTGCTTTCTTTCATTCATTTAGATTTTTACTTTTTTTTCAAGATATGGGATCTTGCTGCTTCTAGCCTTTTGCCCAGGCTGATCTTGAACTCCTGAGCTCAGAAGTTCAAGGGTCATCAAGGTGAAAAAGAAACAAAAGGTACAAAAACCAGAAGGTTTTTGTCTCAGCCCCTTGAGTACTTGGGACTACAGCATGTGCCACTGGCACCCTACTTCATTTAAATATTTATTGAGCATCTAGTATGGGTCTGGTATTGTTCTAGGTACTGGGGATCCAACACTGAATAAAACAGAGATCTCTGTTCTTGTTCTGGTGGAGCTTAACTTCTAGTAGGGGAGACAGTAAACACACAGACACACACAACAGTAATAAAGACATGGATTCTACAGTAAGTTACAACGTGATGAGTATTAAGGAAAAAAGTTATGCCAAGAGGTGAAGTCAAGGACCTCACAGATAACTCTGGCTCCTCTGGGGTGAGCCTTGTTCATCCTGCCAGGCTCTGACTTGGCTGCTCTTGTCCTCAGCGTACTTCCAACCACAGTGAGGAGGACAGAGGCAGGACAGTGCTTGGGGACCATGCTCTGGCCTGCAGAGAAGCTCCTGGTTTTTGGAAGCTCCCAGGTGTGCCTCTCCCTCTCGCATAGGACAGGGAGGTACCTGGGATGATAGGACAGTGAAACTTAGCCGTGGGGTGAGCCTGCTGTGGATCTCAGCAGTGGTGGTGGTGGCGGTGGCCTGGTTTGTGCCCGCAGGCGAGAGGAACCGTGTGAGGAGGGACCTGCTGTTAAGGGCTTGAGGGAGAGAAATGAGAAAGAGTGATCAGAGAGGCAGGAGAAAAACAGAGTGTGCTGTTTTAGAGACTGTGGTGTTTCAGAGCAAAGGGTGTTTGGGGTGAAGGAAGTGATTAGCCAAGTCCAATGCGGCTGAGCAGTCAGTGAGAAAAGCCTGAAAGTGTTGATTGGATTTAACAACATGGAGGTCACTGATGACCCGGATGACAGTGACACCAGGGGAGGAATAGAGCCAGCAGCCTCACTGTCCTGGACTAAAGAATGGGAAGAGAGGCGTGCCGTTTCCAGAAGGACTTTTCCCGGGAAAGGGCAAGGCATTCCACGGTGAGGTCTGTAAGTGCCCATGAACTCTGCGGTCAGCAAGGCAGAAACAATGATGTGATAGAATGTCCAGGCTGGGCTGACCCTGGCAGGCCACCTGGGCTCGTGTCCATGTCTCCAGATGAGGAGACAGGCCCAGAGAGGAAAAGAGTCTTTCCAGGATCACACATCCCATAGTGATCAGCAGGGCAGGACCAAGCTTCCCGCCTTCCAGGACAGCCAGTCTTTGAGGCACTGGGGACCCCTCTGTCCTCCAAGAGAAAGGGTGACAACTGAGGCCTTGCCTGAGATAGCCCTGCTGACCTGGTTACCTTAGCCCTCACCACTCTTTTATTGTCTTTGCTCCGATTGTACCAGTCTTTCTATTCCAGATCACATTTTTTTTGTTTTTTTATGACCTTCTGGTTTTTGCACCTTTAGTTTCTTTTTCCCAGGACAATCTACCCATCCTCTTTTTCTGCCCTTCTTTCATTTGGTTAACTTGTCCTCAACATCCAGGAAGCAACTCGATGGGATCAGCTGCCTCCCTGGTGCCCCACAAGCCTTCCTTTCCTTGCCTGCTTTCCCACTAATACATGAGCTCCTTGAGGCATGTGTGAGGTATCTCTTCACCTCCAGCACCCTATGATAGACCTGGCACAGGTTCCTTTCAGCATTTGCTGAATGAAGAGGTTCACACGTATGGAATCTGCTAGCTTAGTTTTGAGGCTGATGTGCAATTAAAGAGTGGAGATGGGTGGGAGGCAGAATCATTGCTACAGAGATGCAGCTCCAGTGCCTTCTGCTGGAACCATGGTCCCAAGCTAGGCAGGGGCAGAGGTACCAGCTCCGCTCCTTGTGCTGCTTTTGTTGCTGTGGCAGAGGGAGGACAGGTGTGGGCTTTCTTGGGCTGGGCTGCAGCTGCCTGATTATCATACTGGACCTGGGTGGGGTGAGGTGGGGACATAGGAAGATTGGGAGGCTGTTGATCTGGTCTGCTCATGGCAGCCCAGCCTCCTCATGCCTGCCCACTACCTTCTTCCCTCTGTGCAAGACAACTAACTGGTCCCTAGAAGCCAGTGTTCCCCTCTGGCCCCACTTCTCTTGTGAACCTGTAAAATACCACTGACCAGCCTGTGGGGACACAGGCCATGGTGCTGGGCATGGTGTCCAGCAACAGAGGCCCTGCAATTGTGAGTAAGGAAGGGGGTAAGTCTGGATCACCCAAGCCATCCTCTCCTTTGACCAGAGAGGAAGTGAGGCCTAGAGGGGAAGTGGCTTGACCAAGGTTACCTAAGGTTGGAGTCAGGTCTGAGTCCAGAGCCAGTGCTCACTACCTCTCAGGAAAGGAAGACGAAAGAGTTGATAGGTAGTTGGTGTCCTTAAAGAAAATAGGCCTGGGCTGTGCAGGGACACAGCAGCTCAGTCTGCCCCAGCCATCTGCTAGGACCGTGAGCAGTCAGTGTGGGGGCTGGACGGCTTGCCTCAAGCAGCAGGCCCAGCTTGAGGACAAGCCCAGTGTGCAGTCAGGGCAGTCAGTCTGGTATCAGTTCAAGAAGGGAGAGGCCAGGGCATAGAAGGGAGTGAGTGGGAAGGGTAATTGGGCCAACAGAAAAAGGCTGATCTTTGGAGTCAGACCACTGGGTTTAAGTCCCAGCTGTGTGACTTTAGATAAATCACTTTACCTCTCTGAGCTTCAGTTTCTTCATCTATTAAATGAAGATATTAACACCCATCTTACAGAGCTGTCATGGGATTTCAAAATAATGCATGGGAAGTGCTTATGTTTTATAGGATTATTATTTGTGGAAATGGAATTGGGATAGGGGATACGCTTGGGAATGGCAGAAGAGAGAAGAGGAAGATGTGGGAATATTAATCATTCACAGCAACGTGAATTCCTCCGGGCCTGCCTCCTGCTGAGCAGTGCTGGGGAGCCAGCAAGGGACCTACCTGGCCCTGTCTGCAGGGGCTCACAGGCTGGGTGGAAGTGGGGTGGAGGGAATGGATACAGAGCGCTTCCACTCTGGAGGCAGTGCTGTGTGAGGAGGCATGGTGGCCATGGGAGACCCAGCTCTGGTAGTAGAGACCCGGAGTAAACATTAGCTAAATTGAAGGAGCCTGAGGAGGAGGCTTAGTGAAGGCCTCCTGTAGAGAGTGTCATTTTCTTTCCCAGGCCCCAGCATCTGTCAATGGTGGATGCAGGCCACTCCAGGATGCTCGTCCTCCCTCCTGGGTCCGATACTCCTGCCCAGGCCACGTGGCTCAGGGCTGGGCTATTGGAGCTTCCCACTGCCCACTGTCCTGTTCCTCTGGCTCCTCCTTTCTCTCTCTACCTCTCCCCACTTGCTAGGTCCGAGCCCTGCCTCCCTCCCCAGCTCCCGGCCTTCTCTGTCCGCACAATAACAGGATGTGATCCGTTCGAAGAAAGGAAGTGGGGAGGACGGGCAGTGCTGATAGTGCGTTTTTGACTCTCCACTCTCCACTCCTCCCCTCCCCTTTGGACCAGCCCCTTCGTCTGCCTCCTCCCCTAGGCCCTGCCTGAGCCTCCCTCTGGGTTCAGGAGGGATGAGTTTGGGATACTCAGGCCCACTCTGGCCTGTTCAAGCCTATGGAGGGATGTACACTGGCCATGTTCTCTGCAGAGCCTGCCTTCCCAGGAGACCCACTGGGTTAGCTTTGGACCCTGGGTTATCCTGAGCTGCTGGAGCCAGAGGGTGGCAGGTGGATCCTTCACCTCTAGGCAGCAGGGTGCCACCTGTCCATCTGCTTCCCCAAGTCCATGTGTGCCTGATCCAAAGCAGTGGGATGATGGAATCAGTGGACTGTCCTTATCAAGTACTGTCTATGCTTGGCCTTGCACAGCATGTGACACAGGCTGCACAGATGAGGAAACTGAGTCTCAGAGAGGCAAAGCATGAACTCGGAACTAAGCTGGAGCTAGAACCTAGATCTCCTGGTGTTCTGTCACCCCTCAGGTCAGCGCTGTCCAATAGAACTTTCTGTGATGATGGAAATGTCCTGTATCTGTCCTGTCCAATATTATAGCCATTAACCACATATGGCTTTTGAGCACTTGCAGTGCAGCGACTTGCATTTTCATTCATTTAACAGAACAAATTATTTATTTACTTATTTTTGAGATGGAGTTTTGTTCTTTTGCACAGGCTGCAGTGCAGTGGCATGATCTTGGTTCACTGGAACCTCCCCTTCTGGTTTCAAGC